AGGAGGACCGCAGGGGGCAGATCCACACAGCGGAGGACCCGCCGGGGGGGTGCAGAGGGCGGTGCAGAGGGGCTGTCCCTTGCTGTTATGTCGCAGAAAGCTCCCGAAGCAGCCGCACTGAGAAGACAAAGTCCCGCAGACACTGCAGTGTGCGGCTCTCTGAGCTGGGTGTGGGCACGGTGGAGGACGCGACAACAGTCAGGCTACCAGGAACCATAGGCAGGATTTCCGGTGGGACATTTCAAAATAAAGGTTTTCAGAGTGTTTATACTACTAGTCACCTATATATCGTTCTATTTATTAAGTGTTGGTATTCAGTTTCTGTACTTGTTCTTTACCACATTGTAAATATACAACATTTCAAGTAAAACCACTTCATCGAGAATGGTTTGTAACTGGTACTAAAAAGTGTTTAAGTACGATTAGGAAAATGTAGTCAAAGTATTTGATGTATAAGTGCTTATTACAGAAATAAATATTTTTAAATATTTTAAAGCAAAAGGAGCAAATCTTCGCATTTAACTTTGAATAGGTTTGAACAAAAAAAAAAAAACGAAAAATCCCAATACATTTTTTGTCAACCCATTCATAGTCTTAGTTACTTAAATATAATGTGTGATGGTTAAACCTGTAACAAATAACCATATTTTAAAAGTATTTTGTGTCAAAATCTGCATTTATAAAGTATATAAATCTATAAAATAAATGTAATGGAGTAAAAAGTACAAAATTGGCTTCCAAAATGCAGTACAGTACGAGTATAAAGTAACATGACATGGAAATACTGTACTTAAGTATGGTACTTGAGTACATTTATTTGGTTTCTCTATCTGATCTGACCAAAGAAGGGTAGGGCTCTTAAAAGGTGCATATTAAAATGCACCTTATTCATGAATGTAGCAATAAAAAACTGAGTAAATAATATTATTTTCAATCCCCCAACGTTGAATATATTGAAGTAAATAGAACATCAGAACATTAAAAAATATATGGAGCGCAGACTGGTAGGCTACTGGAGAGGAGCCAGTTCACCTCCGGGCCACTTCCGAGGTGCCCTTGAGCAAGGGACTGAACCCCCAACTGCTCCCTGGCGCCAGCTAGACTGGCTGCTTCTCCGCTCTGGACCTCTCAATGCATGTGCATGTGTGAATATAACTGTGTGTATTTGTATGTACCCGTATAAGAAGCATGTATAAAAAAGAGAGTGGAAAACTGAAGGTTTATGTTCTTTTTCTTCTTTATCAGGTTTGGGGTGAGATTTACCTCTCCAATATAGGTGCTTGACTTTGATAAGTCTACATTGTACTTTAAATGTAAATTGTAAACACATGAGTATAAATCAAGTTGTCCAATTGAACTGACCCACAGTGAAACTGGAGGTTTTGGGGCCAGGGCGTGGTTTTTGGGGATTTATCCTGGTAATCCAGCAGGGGTTTGTTTTTTCTACATACGGATATACTAAAACTGAAGGCCTATAAGAAAAATTGCATACTGTTATGAACATAGCCACAGAATAATGAATACGCTTTCATTCTTTTACTTTGAAAGACTCGATCCAAAGCTTCCGGTCTTATGCTCGGTAAACAGGAGCATCTTGTCGCTGTTTGCTCAGCATCCACAGACTGCTCCTCATCACGGCACCGGGCGGACAGCGACACTGTACCGGGGACGTGGTTTCCATTGGGAATGTAGTCTTTTAGAAATAAAACGGCCATTCAAATGGCCAGTGCCCAGTTTATTCTGGACTACAAGCCAGTGCAGTGTAAACAAACTGCGTTGCGAATGTACCTGGCAGAGACAGAACTGCATTTTATTTTTAAACAGGTTGGAAAATCAGTTAGGATGTAACGATTAACCTTTGCACTGCGTTTATTTGTTTGAATAATGTCAAAGCACTTAAGCACAGCAGCTAGACATCAGTGCTCATTTTGTTTCGGTGTCATCTCTGTGTGTGTGTGTGTTGTAATAGCCTACAATTAACTGGGTCGGTGATCTTTTTTTTAAAGCCTCCAGGAAAAACTGAGGCGGAGGAAGTGGAGGAAGATGACCAGGAGATCACTGCAAGAAACATCTTCAGTGAAGAATATGTTAAACATAATTACAGAGCAGATTTTTTGTTTGAGATTTGATCAGTCAGAAATGATCTTCCAGTAAATGCACTGTTTTTCAACAAACAAAGACCTTAATTATATGAAATTATCTAAAGTGTATATACTGTATATAGGAAGAATAACAGCTCCTGAGACCTGGATTACTCCATCCAACACATCCACCCCAGCAGCTCTCTCCACAGCATATTCCTTCTCTCACACACCCAGACCCTCTGGCAGAGGAGGTGGCACTGGTCTCCTGCTCTCTCCCAAATGGAGATTCTCTTCAAGCTACCTAACTTCACTCCTTCCACCTTTGAATTCCATGCCGTCACAGTAACCCATCCTATACAATTAACCATTGTTGTTCTCTACCGTCCACCAGGCGCCTTGGGGGACTTCTTGGAGGAATTGGATCATCTCCTCTCACACATCCCTGAAACTGGCCCTCCCGCTGTACTTCTCGGAGACTTCAACCTCCAGACAGGGAAGATATCTGAACTAACATCTCTGTTAACCGCCTTTGCTTTCTCACTGTCTCCATCCCCACCAACTCATAACGCTGGCAATGTCCTTGATCTCATATTCTCAAGGAACTGCTCTACTTCCAACCTCTCTGTAAACCCGCTCCAGACATCCGATCACTTCTTCATTTCATTCTCTCTACCCCTTTCCAAACATAACAACCTAATCTCTTCTAACTCTGCACCTGTCCGCCGTAACCTTCGTTCCCTCTCTTCCTCTACCTTTGCCTCATTGGTAATCTCAGCCCTCCCTTCCTCTGACTCGTTCCAACTCCTGCCTCCAAACTCTGCTGCAGAAACCCTCCTCTTTACTCTCTCAACCTCTCTGGACTCTCTCTGTCCTCTCACATCTCGGCAGGCTCGTCAGCCCCCTCCTGCTCCCTGGCTAAATGACACACTGCGTGCTAATAGAACCATCCTTCGGGCAGCAGAGCGGAAATGGTGGAAATCCAAACCCCATGACGACCTCCTAACCTATCAGGCTCTCCTCTCCTCTTTCTCTGCTTCCATCTCTCAGGCAAAAAGCACTTTCTTTCAAGATAAGATCCAATCTTCCTATTCCAATCCCAAAAAACTATTTTCCATCTTCTCCACCCTCTTGGACCCCCCCAAAGCCCCTTCCCCCTCCTCCCTTCTGTCAAGCGACTTTGTTAACCACTTTGAAAAAAAGGTTGATGATATTCGCTCTTCTTTTTCTGACTCACCTTTACTCACCGCTGGGTCACCAGACCCNACTTCAAGACACTGGTACTTGCGTACCATGCTGCGAATGGATCTGGCCCTTCCTACATCCAGGACATGGTTAAACCGTACACCCCAGCACGTGCACTCCGCTCTGCATCAGCCAAACAGCTCGCTGCACCCGCACTGCGAGGGGGACCCAAGTTCCCATCAGCAAAAACACGTGGGTTTGCTATCCTGGCTCCAAAATGGTGAAATGAGCTCCCCATTGACATCAGGACAGCAGAAAGCTTACACATCTTCCGGCGCAGACTGAAAACTCATCTCTTTCGACTCCACTTCGAGCGATAGAATTACTAACAAAGCACTTATATACTAATAAAGGGCTGGCTTATCTAAAGCCAGTTGAGTAGCACTTGAAATGTTTGGTTCTATGAAACCTGATGTAATTATATGATTCTGTTTTCTTCAAGTTTGTACTTTGTTGGTCGAACGCACTTATTGTAAGTCGCTTTGGATAAAAGCGTCAGCTAAATGCAATGTAATAATGTAATGTAATAACATAACTAATTGTAAAACATATTTGCAGAATAAAAGGTAGGCTACCATAAGAATGGAACGTATTTACCAGCAGCCTATTATCTTTTGATATGATTCAATAATTTCTTATGACATGATCAAGGGCCTGAATACTCTGTGTACATAACTGCAAATCTATAGAGGAAGACGATGACGTGTGTGTGTGTGTGTGTGTGTGTGTGTGTGTGTGTGTGTGTGTGTGTGTGTGTGTGTGTGTGTGTGTGTGTGTGTGTGTGTGTGTGTGTGTGTGTGTGTGTGTGTGTGTGTGTGTGTGATGTTTATCCCATAGACTGTGGGTTATCCATAAAATGTATGTGGCCCACAATGGAACACAAACATGGTTGTATTGAACTTATCCCCAAATACAAAAGACAGCACAATGTGGCTGATAAGTCAATTCTCCAGTATCAGAATAAGCATCAAATAAGCAACACTCCATAATAGCACACCAACAAACAATGCAATATAAAAACATTGCAGTTATGTGGTTTTTGCTGCTGTTCACCTCTCATCTCTTGAGCTATTCTGCTCATCTCTCAGATGTAATCCTCTTATCAGATTAGTTTGTTTTCAAGTACATTTAGTTTTACCATAAATAATGCAGAATTGTAATTAGTTTCGCTCAAAAATAATCATACAATTGAGTCAGTGAATAAAACTGTGTAGAAGAGGCTGGTTCATCATTTCAAATATTACATTTTTAAAATTAAGATCTAGACATTTTTTTGTGCATTTATTTTATATTATTGGTAATACATAATTTATACTTTGGTAATAACCATGTTTTTTTTCATTCAGTACCAATTAAAATGAATGTAAATAAGTAAATACCTATAATGATAGGGCCTATTAAATACAGTTGAATTAAATATATATATTTTTTATTCCAGAACATCATTGTATTTTGTTATATAAGTCATGAAAAAAATGACATTAAATAAATAAATAAAAATACAGTTTAATTTTTCAGATTAAATATTTGTTAAATACAGAATTAGTTTTGATAGCCTTTTTATTCATACGGTTTTTAATCGCGTTACTTGAGCATGGATGTATTTAGAACGTTTGGAGCCCATCTATATTTTTTATTTTTCTCACTGCGACACCATGGACATGACGTCATAACTGCGCGACTCCAAACAGCATGGCTCTCACTTCTCAGCCTTGCACTCGTGTTGAAAATTAAAGTGTAAAGTGAATCAGAGTTATAACATAACGAACGACATGGATGTTCCCGACGCTAACGACGACAGTTTCGGAATAGAAGTGATTCTTTCTGACGGCGGGAAAACAGCGCCATGTTGTCCGCATGGTGAGTTTAAATCATGGACTGTTTAAATATAAAGCTATTTAAATGCACTGAAGCACCAAGCTGTACACATCCAACATGCTAATAACAAAACTTAAAGTTGCTCTGCTTTGTTATAAATGCACACACTTTCATTATTTAAACGAAACTTTAAAAAATGGCGTGTGAAAATAACAAAATGTAGCTAGTGGCGCAGTAAAATATCACATAGACCTAAGTTGTAATCAGCAGTGGTGGATAAAGTATCCTTTACTTAAGTCAAAGTACTAATACTACCATGTAAAATTACTCCATTAAAAGTAACAGTGCTGTATTGAGAATGGTACTATCTACTTAAGTAAACGCATTTAAGTATGCTCATATATATTTAAGAAATGTAGGCTATGTCTAAAGGCAAAAGCAAAAGATCTTCACATAGGTTTTTTTTTTTTTTTGCAGAAAATTACTTCCAATTTACAACATTGTTCCCAATTCATGTTCTCTCTTTTCATTCAATGTTTTGGTTTAATTTAATTATATTTTAAAAGTTCTTTATAATTTATGTTTGTAAAAATTAAAAGGTACATTATTTCCCTTTTTGAATTGTAGTGGATTAGAAGTATAAAGTTGCAAAATTGAAATACTTAAGTAAAGAACAAGTACTTCAAATTGTACTTGAGTACCGTACTTGAGTAAATGTACTTGGTTACTTTGCACTACTGGTAATCATATATATATTTCACAGAGATTGACTATAAATAGCACGTGTAGGCTATTATGTTGTATTAAGCCATATTGCAGGTAAACAAACCCATCTCTTTAACGTTAATGTCTACTCACTTTGCTGTTAATGTGTGTTTAAGAATTGATGATATTACATTAAAATTAACTATTTTTTTATCACTGAGTTTTTTTTATCTTTCAAGAAGTACATGGTGGCACACCTACCAAAATCACCCTATGTCACTTGTGTTTTTCCAGGTCCAACCTTGCTATTTGAGAAAGTGAGCAAAGGAGGGGAGAAAGGCAGGAGGTTCTATGCCTGCTCTGCCTGCAGAGACAGGAAAGACTGCCACTTCTTCCAGTGGGAGGATGACAAGGTGTCCGAGGCCAGGCTTCTGGCCAGAGAGGCAGAGAACCAGTCAAAGAGACCTCCCTTAACCCAGCAAGAGCGCGTCAAAAGGTCAGAAGTCAATTTACAAAATGTGTACCAGATCACAGTCCTGCGAGGCTTTCTCTGGACCTTGGTCACAGATCGTCTCATATTAGCTTTTACTGGAAGAATGTGTATCTGTTTAATAGTTCACCTCTGGCTCGCAGAGAACTTGCAGCTCCATAGTTTCTTATGTTGCTGCTAACTGGACTCCATCACTTTACCCTTCAAAAACCATACTTCTTCCATCTGTATATATTATCTTCTCACTGTTCCTACATTTATATTGAATTTCAATGTTTCAAAGTAAGAGCATGATGGTTTGTTTAATGTGCCGTTTTTGTATTACTTTAATGAACAGCGGTACGTTAGGTGCATTCTTTATCACCATCATGTTATAGTGATACAGTTAGTTTATTTGTTCAATACAGCCTATTTCGAGCACATTCGTATGCATTGATGTTGTTGAAGTAGGCTACTTAGGCTACGCCACTTTCGGGTCCCGGGGGGCTACATCTGGCGCGAAGCAGCCCCAGAGATAACTCTTTGTTCATACTTTGTGTGTATTCATTCAAGCGGGTCAAAGTTAAGGCCCTGACACACCAGGCCGAAATCGGCCGTCGGTGTTAGTCGGACGACGAAGCGTGCCCTGTCGCCCAAACTCAGTTTGGTGTGTCCCGCACAGTCGGCCGTGACACACCTTATTTGGCCTTTCATGGCCGACGCATGGCCGATTCAACATGTTGAATCGGCCATGCGTCGGGCCGGGCAGTCGGGCCAAATAAATCACTCTGATTGGCTGTTCAGCTAGCGAATCAGTGCATGAGAAGCGAAACGGAAGTGAGGGAGCTTCTCATGCACTGATTCGCTAGCTGAACAGCCAATCAGAGTGATTTATTTGGCCCGACTGCCCGGCCCGACGCATGGCCGATTCAACATGTTGAATCGGCCATGCGTCGGCCATGAAAGGCCAAATAAGGCGTGTCACGGCCGACGGTGCGGGACACACCAAACTGAGTTTGGGCGACAGGGCACGCTTCGTCGTCCGACTAACGAAAACGGCCAAAATGGGCTTGGTGTGTCCGCGCCTTAAGAGCTCAACCCAGTGTGTGTGTGCCGTGTAGCTCCCTCCTGTCAGTGGAGTGCTGCTGCCCCCATGTGTTTAATGGGAGGTGTTGCACGCAGAAGGCTCCCTTAAGGAATTAGTACAAAAAGACATTGATCACATAACAGTGTGAATTCATAGCCTGAACCGGTGGGATGGCCAGCAGCATCATCATCATCATCATCATCATCATCATCATCATCCGTGTGGAGCTTCAACTGAGGTTAATAGGATGTTTAATGTTCTGGTAAATGTCTGCTTGCCTTTAGTCTCAGGTTGCGCTCAGCATCAGCTCTCAGGTAAAACTGTGGTCAATTCAAATATTCAAAGGCTTTATTGTCAGAGGTGGAAGAAGTACTTAGGTCTTGTACTTAAGTAAAAGGGTTAAGGTTAGTGTA